CCCCCACCCCCTCTCACGTGTCGCTGATATTTCTGCCCAGTCCTTGTCTCACACCCTCCTTCCCCACAGAGAGCTGGGAACCATCCAGAGAGCAGCATGGATCTCCGAGGGGCACTCATTGAATGGGCAAAGGACATGTCCAGCAAAAAGCACGTCTTTCGGGTAGGTACGGGGGTAGTGGGGCGCTGTCGGAGGGTCGGCGCCGAGGGAGCGGGGCGCTGTCGGAGGGTCAGGGCCGAGGGAGCGGGGCGCTGTGGGAGGGTCAGGGCCGAGGGAGCGGGGCGCTGTGGGAGGGTCAGGGCCGAGGGAGCGGGCGCTGTCGGAGGGTCAGTGCCGAGGGAGCGGGCGCGTCGGAGGGTCAGTGCCGTTGAGGGTGGTTATAAATGTATTCTGTGCTTCCCACGACAGATCCGGACTGTGACCGGGAATGAGTTCTTGTTGCAGTCGGAGAATGAGGATTACATTAGCGACTGGTACAGGACCATCAAGTGCGTCATCGACACCCTGGTGAGCTCTCGCACCCAGGCAGACCCCTTCCCTCGGTCTCGTCCCCACTGGAGCTCGGCACCTTCTGCTCTCGGGCCCTGGAATTGGGGAGTCGGGGGCCACAGGAACGACTCCCTCTACACGGGCGAATCCGGGGTTCGCTCCCCGCTTCCTTGGGGAGTTGGAGGGGCTGGGACATGAGGGTGAAAACGTTCCCGGTGGAACTGGGTTGGGCTGGGTGGGGGTGGGGGTTGCAGACGTGTGATGGCAGGAAGAATTCCGGGAGGAGAGTGAGTTTTGCACAACGTCGTTGCGATCTGCACCTTCCAAACCCACCACCCCTACCCAACCCAGACTCAGGAACGACACGGGCCGTTCCTTTACTGTGTCCGGGTTCGAAATCTTGGAACCTCCCACCGCCCTGACACCACACACACGGGGGAGGGGGTTGTGGGGGACTGGGCCCTCGCTTCCCCCACACAGCACCCCTCCCAATATCCCCAAAAAAGCCGGAATCAGACACATTCAGAAAGAAGCAGAGCAGCAGAGTGAAAGGTTTGCACTGTCTGCGGGGAAGGGTTAGGGTCTGACCGGTGTCTTGTCTGCCTCTGTTTATTACGAACATCCCCCCACCCGCCACCCCCATCTCCGTCTGCCCTGCAGGATCTGGAAAACCCCCTGAACTACCCGCTGGTGTACTCGCTGCGGAGGACCGCCAGCGCGGAGCTGCT